TTTGTGGGCATTGAAGAACACATGTACCTGTTTAGGTGTCTACAACAGGCATTTTCTTGCCACCCAAACAAATAGGTGTACTCAGAAATAAGATTTTATTTAATATATATATATATATATATATATATATATATATATATATATATATATATATATATTCACTGACATATATATATATATATATATATATATATATTATATATATATATATATATATATATATATATATATATATATATATATATATATATATATATATATATATATTCACTGACTTACAATAATATATATATATATATATATATATATATATATATATATATATATATATATAAGTAGTTTGGTTTACTGATCTATAAAATAAATATATTACTGGAACCTATAGATTTATCTGTTGAATAATGGCAGTATTTATGTTCACAGTTAAGATGAAAGCTGGTTTGTTCTACAAAGATGTAAAAAAAGAAAAAAAAGGATGCCATTTGTATGAAATATTCTGAATTTTAAAGTACCATATTAATAGCCATGTTGTAAGTTTGAAGCTTTAAAATAAGTTGTAGGATGGATTTGACAGAAAAAGAAAAATATTTAATAACTTTGAAACCTGCAAAAAAGGTAATACTGATGTAGAGTGAGTGGCCATGGTTATATGTAAATAAATGGCAGAACTGCATAAATAAAATTGACAAAATTCATAATAAGTAGTAACAAGAAAAAGAAAAGAACAGGGCAAAAAGAAAATAATAATATAAAGCAAGCAAACAATATATGCAAGGCAAATTAACAGTAATATAGCAAAAAGTTCACAAATTAAGAATTGGAGTTGACCCATGAGCAAATCATTCTGACCCCAAGGCAAGACAGACTTGGACTGAGTCAGATGACACCAAGAACCAGTCTATCTTAATGGCTATGAAGAAACCCCAGCATGCATTTTTGTGCTACCTATAAATTGGGGAGGGAAAAGTATTTTGCAATCATTCCCGATGGGATTGGAACCAACAAGTGAAAATTAGAAAAGGCTCTGCAAGTCTCACCAAACAGAGTTCTCTGAAGACCATGCATAACTCTAGTTCAGGTCTGAAAAGGGCAAGTTGACGACTATTTTGCTGATTTTGATTAATTTTCTAAAAATTAGAAAAGATTATAATTGGCTGATAAAATGAGATGCAGTGTATGTGCTGATGGAAAATTATATTGTAGCACTCTGATAGATGTAGCTAATTTTGATCTGCATGCTGCAATATGTTGATACTTCTGGATGTAAACATCCTGATAAACCATCCTCAGCCATCTTGTGATGTAGCAGCACTCACATAAGTGCACCATTACTATCCGAGTTATAGACATTGACATATGCAGTAATACAGTTCAGTGGGGTGAAAGTGTCCCGTGCAAGTAAATGTCATGCCATGGAAATATACACATGCTCCTTTTGTTCAGTTAGATGAAAATCCTGGGAAATAGTTATTGATAAATAAATGTATCAGTTGTTTTTCAGACAATGTGATTAATCTATGATTGCACTCTAGAAGTGTCAATTTTTGGGGGGTAATCACCTTCTGAGAAAAGCAACTGAGTTCAATTCATTGCTAACATCAATAAATGCATTACAGTTAATTATCTCTTGTTGTTAATTAGGTTCTCAGCAGTGATAAATAAAGTGGTGAAATAATATTTTAACAAAAAAGAAATTGTTTTAAATATATTAAGAAAAAGGAAATTTTTAACAACGTACCTAGTTCTTTTTTCCTTTTTTTTTTTTCTTCACTCTACTCAATAAATCATCACCTTTCTATCAGTGTGTGATTAGCTTCTTTGCACTTTTCTGGTGCAAATATTCTAGCCGAATTAGAAAACCAATTCTCCACCTGCTTCTCAACATTTTGCACAACATCAATCCAATAGTAACTTTGGGAAAGACTGCAATACTTTTATTTACACCTGGTGCTCATTTTTTCTACATGAATAAATATTTCTCAATTTATCATCATGTGTGGACACACCATCTTGTTCCAAATTCCATAAACGTATTAGCATTTGTATTCTAAAAATTGCCTCCAACTCAAGATGAACTGGGAATAATTTTGAATCTTCTTTGTTTTGAAAACTAAAATTTATATTAGTTTTCATTATAATTCATTAAAAATCTCTGTGAATTTTATATGGGGAACAAGAAATGTAGTGCCAAAAGTTTTTTATTTCAAATTTACAGCAATCACTATAATCAAGTTGAGACAACCAAATTTAAGATAATTAGTCTGTTTGTCTCATTAACTCATGATAGTAGATGATTTTGATCTTCATTTGGGTCTTCCACTCACAGCAAAATAAAAAGCCTTCTACAGAACTAGTCATGTTGAGCTGGTATCTCTTGAGCTGTGACACATTAGGAATGGGATGTCTGTCTGGTTTGCCTGCTGACAGGTGAACTGAGTTTATTGGTTTAATTTTCCCACTCTTATGGCCGTGTCATATGAAACTGTATTTGTAAGGGCAAATAATAATAATAATATATAATGTACAAACACAGATTTGCTGATGTTTAGTCTTTGACTTGCAGCCATTTAAGTTATAAAATGCACTTCTATACATATATGCAAACATTGCATAAACATAAATTGAATTTCCAAGAAATTAGAGACAGTATTACACTGAATGATTCCCCTCACCCCATTGGTGGGTGATACAAAACAGGTTCCAGGTACACTACTCTCATTTTTCAAATACCCAACTAGCACCCACACTTACCAGATTTAAAGCCCATCAAAAATGCAAAGACAAACTTTACTCAATTTGCAGCCAATAAACACTGCTTGGTTATGGATATCTTCAGAATATGCTTACATAGATATATCCACACAGTGACTCCAGCATAGAATTTAAGCCATGTCGCTTAGCTTCTGTTATTCAGGCTAAGGTAGGAACTGCATAATATTAGGTAGCTGCTTCAAATTTTCAGGCACTTCAGTTTTTGCTATATATATATATATATATATATATATATATATATAGCCCAATGAGATTGCATCCAAGCATGAAACAGACTGTCGCCACTTGGTATTAACCACAGTGTCCTCTTTTATATTTATATATGGTCTATCTTTCATTAGTAAATATAGCAAACCTTAAAAATACACACACACACACACATATATATATATATATATATATATATATAATAGGAGTAGATAGGTTTGCTTATTGTCTAGTTCACACTCATCCTTGTCTTGTGAATAGGAGTTGAAGTTTATTCCTTTTTTTTCCGTTTAGAATAGAGTTTCCTGTTCTCCTTTTTTAGGCCTTAATCTCCTCTCTCCACAATGACATCTCATTTTCTGTCATTCTCTTGTGTCTTAGTGGCATTATCACCTTACTTGGAGTGAAATGATTGAGAGAAAAAAAAATACATATGTCTTTGTGTGTGAGCATTCTTTTTTTGCTTAGTCTAGGCTTTGGAGATATCTGTTTTCATCTCTTCACACTTGTTTAAATATGAAGTCTGAGTATATATTTTTAAATTTTTGTGGACTTCTCATTGGTATGGTTGTCTTCTCAAATGTGTCATATTCAAAATATAACACATACTCTCTCTCTCTCTCTCTCTCACACACACACACACACACACACACACACACACACACACACAGAGAAGAGTGCTGAAAAGTTCTCAGCCAAACTTTGATGTACTGGACATTGGTAATACTAGCTCTCCACAATTTGCTGTCCTTTGTAGCTCTTAATTTCATCTTTTTGTTATCTCTTTTCTAAATCTTGTTCCATCATCCATCTACTCAAACTCATTCAGTAGGTTATGGGCTGTTTTCCTTTGTCCCTTTTGCCTGCAATCTGGCCTGTGAGTATCAAATTTTTCAAGTCCTCTTTCCTCATTATGTGATTTAGACATTCCAATTTTCTCTTCTTGATGTTAAGTATAAGTGTTCTTTTTGTTTTCATTTTCTTTAAAACTTTGTTGTTGCTCACATGTTTGGTCCATGGTATTCTCAGAATCCTTCCACAGAACCATATTTCTGTTGCTTCAAGTCTCTTCTTCATCTTTGAGGAGATTGTTCAGCATTCACTGTCATAAGGAGTACTGATATTACATAATAGTTCAACACTCTTTTCTTTGCTTCTAACAATTTTTTTTCTATTTCTTAATACTTTGTTTAGCTTTTAGAAGGCATCTTTTGCTATCCCAATGTGCCGCCTTAAATCACTTCCCAGATATTTAAATTGCTGTACATGTTTGATATTGGTATCTCCATTTTGTAATTTGCATGTTTGGGCTGTTCCTTTTGTTGGGCAGTTCCTTTTGCTAACAAAAAGAATTTCTGATGGTTGGTCATTTTGTCAGATTCTTGAAAAACACATCACATCTTGTGATGTGTTCTTGATCAACAACAGCAACAACAAAAATGCATATAAAGTTCTTGGTCCAATCCACTATATCCAATATATATATATAAAATGTCCATTGCTTTGTAATGGCCAGAACATGTTATACTATATTTGTAGCTTTCCTTACTCATATATGATAAAAGCCCGTTTTCATTTTCAAGAGTCTTTTGAAATGGCTGATATATAGGTGACTAAAAATGACAAAATTTATTACAGCCCACAATAGCAAAAGTATATTGCCACCATTAAATTACTCTCATATGATGGGCAACTCTTTGTTTATTTGATATTTAACTTTACTACATTTGCTTTATTATTTTAATAAAAGTCTGAACAATAACAAATGTAAAATTAAATAAAAACAATATTGAATATTGAATGATTATTATGGAGAATTGTTTGATGAAAACATAATTTTATTTCAGAATTTAACTTTTGTGTTGTGAAAATTCTGTGGTGAAATGTTTTTGCTGATAGTGATGATCATAGTAGTAATGATGTCAGTTAAATCAAGATATAATTATGTTTTAGACACTTTCTGCTTTTCTCATTGTCCTCTCATTTTGACCATTTATTAAAAAAAAAAATTTCTTTTGTAGTGCTGTTTTGGAAAACCACCATGTCTCCCTTGCATTTTCTGCTACCTGCAAAGATGATCCTGTCAACATCTTCAAAAATTTATCTGCGTGAGTTTTTTATTTTTATTTAATTTTTTGCTTTGATAATTTTCTTAAAGTTATAGATAACTTTTGACAGTGGAAGAGAATAAGAAAAGTTTGGCCTGAATTAAGTCTAATAGACATACCAAAAGCTTTCTCTCCTTCATCTTACCTCTCTTTCTATGCACTCATAAAGATAGCCACTCCATTTATTTTTCTTAAAAGATGGTGACATGAGAGTAGAAAAACATGGGGTATAAAAATGAACAAAATTGCCCTATTTGATTCCATACAAGGCTACTAAATTTTTGTATGGCACATAAGACCCTGTTTTTTCTTAATTCCTCAAGAAAACAATTTCCAAACCTTATATGACTCTGATAGACTAATGTTCACCCAGACTCCATTGACTACCAGTATCTCATCAAACTTCATGACACTTTAATATTCACTGCACCTACTTAGTTTCCTGTTTCCCACTGACATGAAGTGAAAAGATTATATTGAATCAATTTCTAAGTTTGCTTCTAGGAAGGTCAGTTTGTTATGTTGTGCTAAATAATTTTACTCACTAAAATTTATCTTGCATATTTATAAGTCTGTCTTCATCAAATATTGGTGCTTCTGATTTATATCTACAGATTCTTGACAAAACCCCAAAAATAACCTGCAATGTTATCAATCTTGACCTGACATCTCATTTTCAAACACTTTCCCACTGCCATAACATAGTTTCCCTTTGCCTTGTCTATAAATATTATCATGGCAATTGTTCTGATGAGCTTTCCACTTTACAAATTTAAGTGCAGTACTAGATTGGTAGTTAGGTCTCATAATTCTACTGTTGAAATTGTTAGATGTAAATGTAAGTTCTATGCTAATAGTTTCTTCTCCCTTACTGTTTGCTTGTGAAACTCTATTCTGGCTTCTTGCTTTCCTGTCAACTACGATCTTTCAAAATTGAAATACAATGTCAATTGTCATCTTCTCTCTCTTTAAATCATATTCTTTTATTTCCCTCTCAGTAACTCATGAGTGGCTTTTATTTCTTTTCTTGGGAGAGGGTGTGTGAAATGATTAAAAAATAAATATAAATAAAAGGTTTTATATACCATCAGGTAACCATTTGTTAAATAAAAAAAATCAATGAATACATCTGTTTCTATTTATGAAATGAGTTATTGTAACTATTTACACTATTTACATTATTTGTACTGACTGTTATCCTTATCTTTATTGTTATATTCACAACATTTTAGCTGTTGTATACTCCAGTCTTCTTCAGGTGATATATATTGGAATTTCAAACTGAACCCTTTATTTAGTCCATGGGGGTATATTGCTCTAGTTCCACATGCCATGCCTTTTCTGGATATCTCAGTTTTCAGTTAATTTCCTTTAGTAACTCAATTCTCCAAGTTATTTTTTTTTTTTTTTTTTTTTAATTCACCTCTGCTGTGTTCAGGTACTGAACTCACAACTCTTTGGGTCAAGTCACTTTTGGATTTATCCATTTTCAGCCCAGTGGATAAAAACCTTTCTGCCTATGTTTTAGATGAAGATACATTCAATCTGGTGAAAGTTTCCAGTGCAACCAAGTCTCATACCATAGATATCCACAGATGATCTTTTGTTTCAATTAGAGCCAGTTTATTAGTGTTTGAATTATGGGTCTTTGAGAAACTAGTTGGTCATTTTGGAGAATTGCTGTGTATGTTGGATGTGATACAATGATGTTGGCAACTATGGCCAAATGAAAATTACATTCCTACACACAAAGACCAGGTTCTGAATAACAATGCAATGCAGCCACTGACTAAGATCAGCATATATTGAAAGCACAGCAGCAGAAGATTGTATAGCACCCACAGAACACAGTAAATATGTCTTCAGGAATGTCAGCAGATATTACTGAGAATCGTTGACTTGCAGCAGAACTACAAGCATACATGCTTTTTGCTAAACTTCCACTTATACTATAATATCATTGTACTCATCACCAGTGGTGCCACAGGAAGATCACCTGATTAACTGACGTTCTGCCATTTTCTGTTATGAAAAAAGGATCTGCTGTCATGCAAGTAATGGTAATTTGGGTTAGCAATGTAAACCTGGGGAGTAACATTTTTTCCAATACACAGATCCTTGTTGCTGTTTGTGGAAGGGACATCATACAGCACTATGTATATCCAGAACATTATTCAACCTGATCTGCTGTTGTTTGTTTATCTGGGAGCTGATTTAATGTTACAACAGAATAGTGCCTGTCTATATGATGCCCATACTACTCAACATGTTCTGCAATATGTTCAACAACTTCCCTGACTGGAATATTCACCAGATCTGTTCTCATTGACATGTATAGAGCAAGATGGGATGACATCTGACTCATTCAGTTAACCCACCTACAACTCTTGGTATATATCAAAAGGGAAAGTGTCATGGAATAATGTATTGCTGGACGATATGCACTATTTGGACAATCATGAGCAACACTCAGTAATCCCTTACAGCTTAGTGGCTTTATTGACTTACTTGGAGTGAAATGGCTAAAAAGAATAAAAAAAGGAGAATATACAGTATATTATTGTAGAATCTGAGTACTGTTGATAGATCTCTCATCTTAGAATCTGTATATGTATTGATTTCTAGAAGTGATCCTCTTAATGTATGGATTAGTTATAACAAATTTAGTATAGGAGAAAAGGAAATTAAATATAGAATAGACTGTGTCAGAGATAGTTTCACCCAACACTGCAAATTGCTACAAAGCCAAAACATCAACCTGAAAATTTAAGTCCTGTTCTTAAGTAGCCTTATCAGATTGAGACTTTCATATGGATTTCATGCCAAACCCATTTGGAAATATCTAAACTGCTTTCTAAGATCAATGATGAAATAAGGCTTTGAGCAAGTGAAGCCTGCAGTTCTTGGCAAAGATCGTCTCCCTTTGTACATTGTAGAGTAGCACTACAGATTCACAAAGAACTGTAGCAAACAACAGAAACCACATCATTTGAGCACTTTCAACATGTAAATCAAAGAAAAAAATGATGAAATAATCAAGATGTAGATATTTCACACTACTTCAAATAGAATGTCCGGAAAGAATCCCCCATCAATACTAGAAAGAGCGATAAAAGCTACTGTACTTGAGAAATTTGTTTTCTATAAAACAATTTTTAAGAAAAAAAATTTGTGAATTTCAATTAAAAGCAGTACTGACTGCTTGGTCAATGAATACCAATTGTTTCCTTGTAGGGAAACAGCTACTATTAATTTTCAGTAAATTGAAATACATATGACTTTCTATAGCAAATGTTCAAAACTTACATTTCTTAGTTCCACCAGTTTAAACCTAAATCCCAACATGCCTTTTGGTAAGGAGGAAGTTCTACTCTGACAGCTACTTCCCCAGAATTTTCACCTTGAGGATCACTCTCTCAAGAGGATTCTTCCCTGATCACTACAATCCTAATTTCTTCAAGACTAGGGTCAACTGTTATTTATCCTACATATCCTCATAAAAGGAACTACTTACTTGCTCCCTTTACATCCTTATAACAACCTCATTCAGTAAGCCCCTAACTTGAGTAGCTCTCGGGTCTTATATTGGGTTAACTATAGTGAAAAAAAAAAAAAATTCAAGTTGTTGCAATTGTAGTATTTATCAGTGTAGTAGCATAAATTGCCTCCAAAATTAAGACAAAAAGAGCATTTTTTTAACTGTTCACAGTCTCTTTCCTTTTCAAATGAAATAAAATATATTAAAATATATTATGATTTTAATTAAAAGAGAATAATTAGTGATAAAACAATCAAATACACACTCCCATAAAAAAAAAAAGAAATATTGTCATTAGATGAAAAGCAAAAAATAAATAATACTTGCTGACGCACTTTTTAGATAATTCATTTCCTTGTGCCTTAAACATCATGTGCAATAGAAAAATAGCTGCATGTTGTCATTAAATCCAAATTGAGCAATTTTGTGGAGTTTCAGGTGACATAAAATGTATCTGGATATTTCCAAATTTAATTACCATCTCCATTACCATTAAAATGAATGAAACATTGTCATTTACACTTTTAAATTCTTTGCAATATGGTGCATTAATAATTTTGAATTTCAATTAAGTATTGTGGAAGTTTATAAAAAACTGATAACTACATCTCTTTATTATTGTCTGGTAAAATGAATCTTATAATGAAAAGAGAAATCATTTTAGACTCAATCAATAAATTCATATTTAAAATTTAAATGAAAAAGCATGAAAGCAAATTTAAGCAAAACAAATGATAAAATCTGCTTGGATGTGTTTGCATGTAAATGCTATCATATCTTGCTTTGTTACAATCGGATTAGTGATTCTCTTGATTATATCAAACCAGACATCTGTTCACTCTTTTCAGATATTTTCCTTTACCTCAAACAACTCACATATTTTCCCTATCCTTCCAACAACTCGGCTAACTTCCCTATCCTTCCAACAACTCGGCTAACTTCCCTATCCTTCCAACAACTCGGCTAACTTCCCTATCCTTCCAACAACTCGGCTAACTTCCCTATCCTTCCAACAACTCGGCTAACTTCCCTATCCTTCCAACAACTCGGATAACTTCCCTATCCTTCCAACAACTCGGATAACTTCCCTATCCTTCCAACAACTCGGATAACTTCCCTATCATTCTAACTGGAATATTTTTCTTTTAACTCCACCAATTTACTATTTTTTCTATCTTTCCAGCAACTTGATTATTTTTCCTGTCTGTCAAACAATTGAGATATTTTCCTATCTGTCCAATTATTGAGATATTTTCCTATCGCTCTAAAAACTTATATATATTTCCCTTTATCTCTAAATATTTTTCTTTTACTTCCACACATTCTAATATTTTCCTTTCCCTCCAATAACTCTAATATTTTAACTACCCCTCCAACATCTCGAATATGTTTTTTTTCTTTTCTTTTCACAGCCACAACCACCCATTGCTGAACTTCATTCTAGATTTCCCCCCTTCTTCTA